CGCTCTCTGCTCTCTGCTCTCATGGCCCTCCCTCCCTTCTCATCTGCCTACTACTACTTTTCCATTCTTTCTCCACCCATCATTCCTCATTTTTTTACGAATATTTCTTCTTTAAAATATTCTTTTTATTGTTCTGATCGTTTCTTGTTTTTTGTTTCTCTCCCTCTGCTTCTGTACATCTATTGTTCATTCACTAGTTGTCCAACACTCAAATACTTTTATTCCTTGCTTACTGTCGACCATTCTTTTATATTTATATTTTTATTAGTTTCTATTTTCTATTTTCTTTGCGAATATCTCTGCTTGTTTTGCCTTCAGTCCCCCTTCTCACTCCTCTCTTCCCCTGTCATTTTGATGTTTTGCCTCATCCCGTGCTTGCTATACGACTGCTTTCGCTCCCATTGTATGTTTTATTAATTATTCTATTCATTTTTTATTTTTTACGAATATTTCTTTCTCTTATTTTGGGTTTTCTACTTGAACTATCTCCTCTGCCTCTCACTTTATAATATATATTCTATTTCCACTTGTGTTTATCTGTATGGTGTCAAATACATTTTATATTATTTAATTTATTTTTTAATGCATTGCGTTGTCATTTTCATTCATATTCATCCATTCGTTCACATTCTCTCTCTCCTTTCTTTTGTTTACCCTCCTCTGCTCTCCTTCTGTCTACCACACTCCACAACCACTCTTCCCATTTCATTCTGTAACACACCAAACATTTTCTTTTATTTTTTCATTTCTATTCTGATGTTTTCGTAACGAATATATCGTGTCTTGACTTAGTTATACACCCAAACATCCTTTCGTCTCTTTACTCTTCTCCTTGTCGTTCCAACAAAGATTTCTTCAACTTTTATTTATATTTCTATTCTTCTCATTGATCTGTCCTTCTTTAATTCCTCCTATCTACTCATATTCATCCAAATTACTCTGCTGTACTTCTACCTCTAGTCCCTTCTTCCTTACCCAGCACTCACCAACTCAACTCCATTCTCCCCCCTTTCTAACTCTACCTCTCTCCCTACCCATGTTTTAACGAGTATTTCTGCTTTTAATTGTTTGATTTCTTATTTTTCGTTCACTCATTCTTCCCCTACTTTTCTTATTGCTTCTCTGCATCCTCATTTCTATGTTTTTTATTTTCTCTTCTTCTACGTTCCTTTACTGACTACTTTTTATTTCATTTTATTTTTTTGTTATTCTTATTATCATAAAAATTATTTTCATTCTTCTTCCTTCTTTATTTCGTTCTTTTAATTCCTTCTCTTCCTATGTAACATTTTCCCTTTCACCAAGTCTTCACCTCTATCACCTATCACCCAAGTCACCTCGCTCACCTGTCACCTCATCACCTAAATCACCTAAATCACCTATCACCTATCACCTATCACCTCTATCACCTCATCACCCAGGTTACCTGATCACCTGAATCACCTATCACCTATCACCTCTATCACCTCATCACCCAGGTTACCTTATCACCTGAATCACCTATCACCTATCACCTATCACCTGTAAAACCTATATCACCCACATCACCTGCCAACAAGGATAATCAAGTACTCCACTAACGTTTCTGCCCAATATCATCCTCTATTCATCATTTTCTTGTATTTTTCTTTATTTCAACATTTCATCGATAGTTTCTTTTTATTTCTAGCTATCTAGATTCAGTCTACAGCCCTTCTTTTGCTATAGTATGTTGTTGTAAGAATACCCTTGTTTTCTGATGGATCTCTTTCGATTAATGTTTTTGTTTTCAGCACAATACAATGTTTGTATCTTTATCTACTCTATGCTATATTCAGTTGGCTTCTTGCAACAACGCCACGCCGTTTACAACTGCTCGACACAAATTTCGTTTATTTCGTTGAGCATAGCTTGTTTTCTCATTTTCTAAAACAAATTCAATATTTTTCTACATAATATATAATTAAAATATATAAAATATAATATATAATACTTATAAAACTTATAAAACGTGTAATGAATTCATGCAATATTCAAATAGTTGGTCGAATCGTTGATGAAGAAAGTGTTTGCCTTTGCGTAGCTGTTTTTCTTTTCTCCGCTTCAGATTTCTACAAACATCCTACTTTTTTCAAGTTTATCTTTTTCTTTTTCTTTATCTTCATCTTTTTCTTATTTTATGCTTTTCTGCTTTTTATTCACTTGCTTATTCTCTTACAAACTCAGCGACAAACGACAAAGAATTCTATCTGCCAAGCACAGAGCTATCCTACTACAGGCTGCCTATTATCAAAATAAACTTTTACTTTCAATATGCTACTTGGGTTGGAAGTGTTGGGTCGTGCTGGAATCTGGTTGGACTTGTGCTTGACTTGTATTCCTCCATGCAACAATTTGACTTATGACTTTTTTGCTCTTTCTTTGTTTCAATTATTCTTTCATCAACGAATATGTCTTATAATTCATTTTGTTATAATTCGGTTTGTCTTTCTTTAACACTGCTCGTTCGCTGGCTGTTTCCTTTCATATCTACTTGCGACACCCACTGTACTCACTCACCTACTGTATTGACAAAATTGCGAATATCTCTACATCTAGCGAATGAAATCCATTCAAAAGCACTTTGTTGAGTTTGAATATTTTTATTTCATTGATTTAAATAAAGAAAATATTATTTCATGAACGAGCTGGATACACGCTTTGAAACATGTCTGAATATACATTATTTATTCATACAAACAATAGAAAAACAAAAATTTTTTTTTGAATATTTTCACTTTATTTTTTTATTTTTTTTATTTATTTACTAATTTTTTGACTTTTGTTTATTTACTTATATACTACGCTATATATCATTATTATGTATAGTAGACGCTTGCGTGTAGTCCTATTCCACTTATCGTATTCGGCTTGCGAGTCTTTATGGCTGTTTACATAGCGACGAGAGAATTCACTTTTCAGTTTTATGGATGTCGCTAGAATGCATTACATTCCATATCACACCGCAGCCCAACTCTGGTAAAGTGTACTACGATTGTCAAGACGTTACGGCTAAAATCAGTTTTGCAAATTGGCTTCCAGTGCCTAATCCCAATCTTATCCGGCAAACTCCAGCACCAAGTCGAGAGCACTAGCTACCTACCTACATACCAAGTGCATGTCGTACCTTTTCTTTACGAATAACTCGACATCTAGCAGTCCAAATCGCTTCAAACGAGTTTTGTTAAACTTGTATTTTTGTATTCTATTCAATAAAACGTAAAAAATAGAATCTCAAAAACGAGTCGGATATACGCCTTTAAACTTTAATTAGTATATTGCATTTTTCAAATAAAACAATATAACATGAAAAAATTTTTGACCATTTTCAACAATCACTTTTCCATTTTCATCTACCTGTCTCTACCTGTCTCTGTTTGTCTCTGCCTGTCTACGACAAAAGACCCACCACTCACCACCAACTGCTACTAAGTACGTAGATACGCCCATCCATACCATAGACAATATCGTGAATAACTCGACATTCAGCGGTCGAAATGGTGTCGAAACAGCTTTATTCAATTTCTTTTTTCGTCTTTTATTGTTTAAAAATATAAAAATATCATCTCATGAACGAGCCCAGAAAGTCGACATGAAAATTATTTAAAGAAAAAGAAAAAAACTATTCTAATTGAACTATAAAAAAAAAGTCAATTCGAAACTTTGAACTTTTTAACTACATCTTCATCTTGAACTAGTTCCCAAGTAAGCAAGACACTACGACATAAAAACTACAGCTTTCAGCATTTACAAACGATGGAATCGAATTCAACTAAATTGTATTCAATAATTTTTGTCTATTATCTATTATCATAATCTATCTACTCTATTCTATAACTATACAGTATTTAGCAAAGTTTTTCAACATGAAAGCAATCATGTGTTTGATATTTAACAAAGCAGTCATCTAGTGTTTGACTTTGTCTTTGATTTGAATTTGAATTTTGAATTTTAAGTTTAATTTAATTTAAAATAAAGAGTCAAAGTTGAACCTGCAACTTTAAAACTTTCATCCCTAAACTAGTGGGCTACAGAGCATGCAAATGTTCATCCAACACATGTCGAATCACAAGAACAAACCCAGAGACCCTCGTAGTTGAGGTACAAACAAACTTGTAAAATGTTTCGTCTGTGGTATCTCCATTGAGAAATTCATTTGCAATGGATTTTTTAAACAGTCTACTGTTCCATGCCGTATAAGTAAGCGGTATCAATCGATTTCTTGCCCAAGAACGACATTCCGGGGTGTATCCCAAGTCACCAGAATCATGTTCATGGATCGTTAATCCACAATACTTACATACTCCCTTAAACTGAACATCCATCTTGCAATGGGCTCTTCCATGATCCGTTTTACGGCACTTGAAACATGCACTCCTCTCAATCGGGCATCTGCCCGGTTGATGCTGTTTGAGTTTTGAATCAGGATCCATAATCAAGCAAAACAAACAGTCGTCTTTCGATACCCCAAAGAATTCAGCAACTGACGCTGATATCGCATTCTCATCCATCAACTGTTGATTGACATCTTGAACACGACTCTTATACTCCAACAATCTCTTGCGCTGCAATTGTTGCTCAACATCATCATCATCATCTTCTTCATTATCAACTCCAACATATCCACCAGGCTTTCTCAACGTCGCCATACCAGCGCTTTTGTTTCTCTTGACGGGCGAATCTTTGTCCCAAGCAGCGAGCCGCTTCTGAAACGACATATACGGCGAGTGAACACGATACTCATCATCCACCTTTGGAGAATTACCGTCCTTTCCAAGTTTGTCATGCGCAGGCTTATCCAAAATATAATTCTTTTTCAACGTTGGCGAATGCATAATAGAGCTAGAACTGCCCGGTGTCAACAAGGTTGTCCCAGACATACCACTACTCAACTCTGGAGTACTGGCAGAAACAAGTTTGGGTGTTGTCATTTCCTTTTCCTTTTCCTTCTCGGAAGAAAAAGACTGTGTATGTCCAACTTTTATTGACTTTGACTTTGGCGTCGAACTTTCCAAAAAGTTACGTTCGTCCTTGCCGTTGCCGTTGCCGTTGCCATTGCCCTTACTCATGCTCACGCCCATGTTTGGTGAGAAACTATATGCTGTACGAGCATTTTCGCTAGTACTTCCATCGATCGTACGATTTCCTCCGTTCCCCAAGTTTGATCCATGAATATTTATCATTGCTGACTCACCAAGAAACATCTGTGCACACCTAGAACAATATACACAATTCTCAAATGAAGAACAACAATCACTATCCCCATCCATCTCTGCTGCAAAGTATGAACGCACACACATCGTCTTGTCCTTCATAAACATCTTCATCGACTCGTCCACATGCTTGGACCACACAGAATCGTGTTCCTGGTAGAAAAGAGCTGCAATAGCATACTTACCATCTCTTCCCGCTCGCCCTGTTTCCTGAGCGTACTGCATACACGAGTTCGGTAATCCATAATGCACTACCAGACGCACTTCACCATAGTCGATCCCAAGACCAAACGCCTTGGTTGCTACCATGATTCGTGTCCTACCATTCGGGTTGCGAAACTTTTCAAACGACTTTTTTCGTTCCGCTTCATCTAAATCTCCCGTGTAAATCGTGGCATCTGTACAAGGGAAAAGATCCGACCGTTGAATCTTTCGTTGCAGGTATTCCACTTCGTGCTTTTTTTGGCAAAACACAATCACACGACCATCGCCCTCATAGACATTAGCTCTTTCCATCAAGACGCTCAACTCGTTCAAAAACGCATTAGCCACTAGCGGACGTAAAAGATAGAATAGATTCTGTCGCGCTGTCGATATGTCTCTCACAACGGTAAACGTAGCACCAAAAGTTTTGCTAGCACAAGTTTCCAGCGGTCGTGGAAACGTTCCGCTCAACAGATGAATCGGTGCAAACAATGCCGACAATCTTGGTGCCTGTAGCAAAGTGTTTCTCCAAGTACTATCCGTCAACAGACTATGGGCTTCGTCCACAACAACACGAGCTAAGCGACCAGCAACGCCAAGACTCTCAAAGAAAGCCAATGCAGAATTGGACAGTGCAGACTCGTACGTAAGGATAAACAGGTCGGGCAGTTTTAACGACGGAGTCACGGGTTGGTTCCTGTACTGAGTCCAAGTATTCGTGCATTCGACAAGTCCTGTTTCGTTAACTCTTCGCATCATGTCCTCACGTAAGGATATCGCGGGTACAACAACCAATGTGGTATTGTTTGGTCGAATGGTTTTATCAATCAAGGCTGGCAACAGAAATGATAATGACTTACCCGATGCTGTAGGAAGAACAATAATCAGATTCTTCTGACCTTGCACAGAAAAATAAACTGAATGAAATTGTTTCTTGGACCGAAACTTTGCACTCAGTCCACAGAATTGGGCTAATGCCCAACGGCAAAGTTGAACGTAGATCTGTGAAGGAGGAATCCCACGAGAGCCAGTATCCGACCACGAAGGTTGTTCCTTCGTTGCTGTTGCTGTTGCTGTCGCTGTTGCTGTTGCTGTTGCTGTTGTTGTTGCCGAAATGGCGACTTTTCTTCTCCCTTTTGTTTTTCTTTACCTTCTTCTTCAACCGCTTGTTTAGCACTGTGTAGCATGCTCTTCAATTCTTTCGTCGACTCGCGAATTTCTTTTAGGATTGGATTACATTGTTCAACCAAGAGACCATGCGCAGAGTTGTCTTTGATTTTTAGCAGCTCTTGCCATTGAAAACTTGCTCGAAAAAAATTCGCAAAGTAATCCGCTGGCAAATAATGCAACTTGTCCATCGTGCGTCCATATATGAGAAGCGCTGTACTTCGTGTATGCCCGGCTTGTAGATCAAAATACGAATTTTTGCTCATGTCTTCCTCTAAATTTCTTTCTTTAAAGTAATGAGCAATATGTCGGTAATTTCGAAATCCCAACGGCTTTCCAAGGCATTCATATGTCACCTTTGGAAATATTCGATAAGGCATCCCACTATCCAAACGTTTCCCACCATTCACAACAAACATAGCATTCGTATAAACAGCAGCTGCTTGTTTGTTTCCTGTTTTCACAGAGCTCAAGAATGCTTGAAACGGACGTACTAGTGCATAGTATCGAAGGGCCAATGTTGACAGAGACTCTGGGAGGAATCGAGGGATTGGCTTTTCCGCAAACTTCATGTTTCTCGTCTTGTCGTACCGGCTGTAAATCATCAAACGACCAAACATCAAGTACAGCTCTCGTGCTTTGTACTTTGAATTCTTCAGCGTCCAATGTACCATTTCTTTTGCTCTCGCCGGTTGTCCAGCCGAAATATAGACCAAGCAAAACAACAGCTCATTGAACTTGGTCGCCTTTGTTTCATAATTCAGAATCGATGTCTTTGACCATTTCAAATCTTTTTTGAAGACTGCGTCAAAGTCATCCATCCACGACATGTCGTTCTTTTTCTCTATCCTCGAGCCTTTCTTTTTCTCTTTCTCTTTCTCTTTATCGGTCCAGTCTTGCTCTTGGGTGCCATTCTGGCTTTTCTTTTTGTTCGCTTGGACAAGCTCTTCAAAATAGTCGTAAAAGTCGTCCCTGGAAACAAGCGGCAAAAATCGATGTCGAAGTTCATCATTCTTCAAAACCGTTCGCAACAGCACACTTCTCGTCATCCGAATGTCTACGGATTCTTTGAAAAAGGAATACCCCAGCTTGCTATTGTTAATATCGTCACCAACTGACTGTAACAAAGAACTTGGTAGTAGCTTTTCCATATCCACACCAAAGCATAATTCCTCCAAGAGCAATTGCAACCTTGAAAACATGCTTTCATACAGATGGCTCAGATCACTTAGGTCCAAGACAACCATATTGTTGATATGGCTCCCAACAATCGTATATTTGGCATTGAACGCCGGTCGAAACAATACCCTTGACGGGTTCAGACCTTCCAAGGTATTCGCATACCCCTCCGTCCTAGTCACATCACGTACGATTTTGTTGGCTTCATACAGAATGTCGTAGATATTCCTTTTGCCCAGAGATATATAGCGAAACACGTGTGTGTATGCAAAGGAACCAGCCGTATGAAACTCTGGTATAGAAGACAGTGTGACTTTTCCTTCCTCAACCAACCGTTGCAATTCACTGGCAGCGACCAAACGACACGTATAAATCAAGGGAGCAAAGAACGACGAAATTTCATACGCATACCTTGACGTTCCATCGTCACGCAGAGACAAGCATGCCAAGAACTTGACGATTTCTGTGTCGCGGATACTTTCCGAGAATTCGTACTGTCGTAGAAAAGCCAACTTTAATGCCTCGTGCAATTCAGCATACGCTTCATCCTTTCGAAAGTAGAACCCTCTTCTTTCTTCCTTCTCGTCAGCGTCGTCGTCAACGTCGTCACCGTCCTGTTGCCCTCGGTCATTGTTTTGGTCTTTCTGTATACCAGCAGCTTCTTCCTCTTGTCTCTGTTGCTCCAACTCTAATTGTAAAGCACGTTCGCGTTCGATTTCTTCACTCTCATCCAACGCTTCTTCCTCCATCATGATAATGTCATTGTCATTATCATTATCATCATCGCCAATAGCGGTATCAATCCATTCAGAGACTTTGGCATCTTCGTCTTCGACTGTTGCTTCTTTTCCTAGGTGTGATTCATCTCTTTTTCGTTTTCGACCACCGCCTTGTTTCGCTTTAGCTTCAGCTTCAGCTTCAGCCGAAACGATTCTGCACATCCGTTCCAAATGGGATCGTACATGGCCATTCTTTTGACAATTTGGTCGTCGTAATAAAAACATCAAATACCGAGCAGTACTTCGCGCATAATTGACGACGCTGACCCTTTGCTCCAGCGGATTCAACCCACGCTCTTGCGCACTGTAGTTTCCTCCTTCTGTAAACAACTTTCTCGTGCCAATCATCATCCACTTCAAGTACTGAAATCCTCTATAATAATACCGAATCAACTCTTCCAGGATAATCTTGGAGTTTATGGCTCCGTCAATGTAATGCCATCCAATCAAGCCTTGCCAGTTACGGCCAAGTGCTTTGACAATGGCTCCCCAACCCAGTTGCTGGTTTAGCAAATTCTTTTGACGAGCATCCACCGAATCGTTGTCGTCGCCATACTCTTCAGTTGCATTTCGTTTTCTAGCGTATGTGTTTGTATATGTATTTGTATTTGCATCGGCATCAGAATCTTCGTCCACACGATCCAAATACCAAGAATCAATCAACGAATCCAATTGATGATTTCTATCTTCTCCTACTACGGGAGCGAAATCCACTTTAAAGTATCGATGTCTTTGATAGCTTTTGTTTTTCACCGTTTGCAACGAAACTCGTCGCATACACTCATTGACATTCACGGTCCTCCCATGATGCCGTCGAACATGACGGTAAAACGTGTCCGCAATTCCATGAACAAAACCTCCTCCACTATCAAAACAAATGGTACATTCGTATCCATTCAACAAAACAGGCAAGCCGAATATACACGGATACGTCTCCCATGAGGATGAACGCTCGTTCGACACGGTGGATGGACTCTTTAGATCGATGTGATTCATCTGCTTAAACAGGTTTTCAACCTCATCTTCAAAGCGAAAAACATGGTGAACGTTTTGCATGTGTGATTTGACATGTTCTACATCCAGCAGACCTCCACATTCGACGCACGATACAGCATGGATCGATAAAATTTGCAAGCCGTAGGTAGCTAACCCTTGGTTGATCTCGTAGTAAGGAGACTCATGCGAGCAACAAGAGTTATCTTGGGTACCTTGCCAAACGCATTCTTGCTTCATATCAAACGTCTCGTCTTCAACACCAATCCTAGCAACGGAAGATGCTGTTTCCGAAGCAGTCTCAAGACGATTGGGTGTAAGAGTAAGAGACGGAGACGGAGAAGGAAAAGGAGTAGGTGTAGGTGTAGGAGTAAGAGACGGATATAGTGCAGGAACAGAAATTGGATGGGAGGAGATTAGATTGAAAGAAGAACGATAGTCAGACGGTAAAGCCGTTTCGTCTTGAAGTTTGTTGATGGTATCGGTCGAAATTTGATTCTTTTGCGGTTGTACATTGTTTTTGGCTTTGTCATTATCATTATTCGCGTCCTTTCGGTCGGTATTATCGTCATTGTCATTATCATCATTATCGTTTCCATAGTCGTCCCTTGTTTCATCTTGGTCCTCTTCATCATCAACATCAATAGCAATAGACGAAACAGCTTCCTTTCCCTCTATAATTTTATCGTTTCCTTTTGCAACAACATTCACATCCTGATTGTTCTTTGCTGCTTCTATCCTCGATTCCTTGGGTCCTACAACATACAGATCAATAAACGTGCCACACCCCTTGACGTGTTCCCTAAATTTATTAGGCATTGTAAACTGCTTTTTACAGCAACATACAAAGCATCCACCCTCGTTCCGAACCATCTTTACGACAGTAGGATCCCGATTATCATTTATCGCTATGTGTACAAAATTTTGATGCAACTTTCGATGATGATAATCAAGAGTATTGGATGACAAAAAGCTCTGGGAACAGTATCTGCAGGAAAACATTTGTCGTTCGTTTCTTCTTTTCTCCGGGTGAGGGGTATAAAGTATAAAATTATAAAATAAGAAATAAGAAATAATCAATAATAAAACAATGAAATGAAAACGACTGAAACCAGTAGACCGACAAAATCCAATATTTGTCTTTTGTCGATTCACTATCAACATTTGCAATTGGCTAAGCTAGTTTATATAGGATTTTTTCAACCATTGTCTCTTTCATTGTTTGATTGTTTCTTTCTTTCTTTCTTTCTTTCTTTCTTTTATATTTTACATTTAATAAAGAATAATAACAATAAACAGTTTTAACAAGGGTATTTATAGTCATATTTGAAATAAACAAAAGAGATATACAAAGGCAGATCTAGCGGGGAAAATCAACAAAGAAACGCGACGCGACCTCCCAATCACCGTATCCCTAAGCCTCCCTTCTTTGTCTACTCTGCTGATAAGTAAAACAAACAAAGAAAAAGAAACGGAAGGCGAAGTCCGTCAACCATCTATTACCCCGCACCTATACGTCAAAACTTAGTAATCAACTGATCCGTCGATTATTGCAAATTTCCCGGACTTGTGCGAAGGTACATGGGTTCGAATCTCGGCGTATTGGTTTATTTCCCACATTGTTTATTTATTTACTTTTTATTATTTATTTATTTTTTTTTGTTTTTTTTTTGAATTGTGTCTTTTCTGTTACTTTAAAACCTTGATTTGATGTCTTTTGGATTTGATTAAATCATTTTATTTATTTATTTCTATTTTTTGACCAAAAACCCGATAGCTTAATGAGAAAAGTATTTCAAGCAAAAAAAATCTATACAAAACAAAATTGCAACCCAATTTCTTGTAGGGTTCAGACATAAAATGAATTGAAAAAAGAAAAAACCATTTGAATTCTCATCCTTCGGTCACTTCATCTCTTTTTGCTTTATCTGTTGTCTATACTTGCTACGTTTCTACGACCTCTGTCTGGCCTTTTCCTTTTGTCTGTATAAATCTTACAAGCATTCTCTTTTATGCATTACCCTTACCTTGTACGTCATACTTTGCAAACTATGAGCGAGAGCCGCTAAGTAAACATAATAATTCCTTTTAGCGAATAACTCGATCATTTCTTGACGAAACTGCGTCAAAATAGTTTCATTAAAAATGTTTTTTCATTCTTTATTATATAAAAACAAAAAAATAGAATCTCAAAAACGAGCTCGATATACGTGCTGAAATTTTTATCAATATATTGCATTTTTCAAATAAAACAATATAAAATGAAAAAAAAAATTTCGAATATTCTCAGCAATCAAACTACATTTTCTCTCTCTGTCTAGACATACCCTACTCTACCCTACCCTACCCTACCCTACCCTACCCTACTCTACTCTAACGTACCCTACCCTACCGTACCGTACTTACCTGCCTACTTGGTCTTGGTTGGCCTTTCAACGACAAAGTCCACTCACCACCAGCCTTTGTGCCACCGCCTTACCTTTTCTATAGGAACTCTTTCTTTAGCAATAACTCGATATCTAATGGTTCAAACGGCATCAAAATAGTTTTTTTCAATTTCTTTTTTCTTCTTTTATTGTTTAAAAATATAAAAATATTATCTCATGAACGAGCCTTGAAACTCGCCAAAAAAAATATTAGAATAAAAAGAAAAAAACTATTTTAATTGAATAATAAAAAAAAAAAAAAAAACAAAACCAAAAAAATCAAAATCAAAATCAAAATCAAAATTGACATCTTCATCTTCAACAACAACTTAACTTGCTTGTGTTTCCTCCCTGCCACCATGGTCCCCAAATGGTCCTGAATGGTCCCCCCCCCCCCAACCAAAAAATCTTTCGGTCCCATCCCAGAGGACCATACAGGGGCCATGGTCCTCGAAAACAACCCCCACGGTCCCTAAAAACTAAAAGGTCCCTGGCCCCCCACGGTCCCAACGGTCCCAAAC